CCTTTAGCTTAGCGGTGGTGACGTGAAGTCATGTGACCGTGCTGTAGTTCCTTTATAGCCCAACATTAGCTGCCTTTAGCTTAGCGGTGGTGACGTGAAGTCATGTGACCGTGCTGTAGTTCCTTTATAGCCCAACATTAGCTGCCTTTAGCTTAGCGGTGGTGACGTGAAGTCATGTGACCGTGCTGTAGTTCCTTTATAGCCCAAAAGTTATTTTTTCAAAATCATGCAGACCTAGATACATTTTTGATAGTGTTGTCACATATAACGTGTCTCAGGCGTTTGTTTGTTAAATTAAACAATGCTGATTCTACCCACACTGCTCACTCAGGATCGGTGGAGGGACTGGATCTGAAAGGCCAGCAAACTTCAGAGAGAGAGAAGCGTCCTTGCACACAGAGCTAAGCAAAACTTTTTCAGATTATTGAAAGCTTTAAATCTTCCAGACGGGGCGGATTCTATCAAAGTGCTTGCATGAGATAAAAACATCTTGTGCACAGATCTGAGTAGTGCAAGTGTTTAATTCCTAGGTCTACTTGTACAGCTATCAGTCTGGAAACATGCACCCACAAAACGGTCTTCTGAAATCCGATTATCTGTTATTAATACACAATGAGCTTTCTCAGTTGCCGGTATATGAGGCACAACTGGCTGAAACAAATGCAGTCTAGTCTCTTTTTAACCCTTGATTAAACAATACAAAAAACTATTCAATTATGAAATATATGCAAAAACAACACCAAAAGTATTGTTATATTACTGCAGACTGTTGTCGTAGCTTAATAAGACTGCATTTGTTATAAATAGGTGTTCTAAATAAACTGAGTGGACTGGGCTTTAGCAAACCTGACAGTAAATATGAGATGTTGGTCACAGAGTTCTTCATTGTGCTTACAGGGGAGATGTTGTACTTGAGTGGCACTAAAACCGGTCCTGTCCTGAGCCTCCCCTCAGACTGACTGCTGTGCTGACTGCATAGTAATGAAGCCTCAACCTGACTGACTGAGTCCTTGAGAGTCCGTGCTACCGGCCTCTATTCCTCATTTTACATCTGAATATATTCTAAATTAACAGACTATATTCATCTGTCAGGGTAATTTATGACCTCTGGGAAAGTATTAAGCACCCGTCAGCTCAGAAGGAATTTCTCATCTTTGCTCATGATTTATTACTTTCATGTGTCTGGAGTGTTGGACGATAGGACTGTAAATACCCAGAACGGTAGAAATGTTTCCAAGGGAAGACATTTTACAATAGAGTGGTGCAGGAATCCAAAAAACGAGAATAAGTCATAATTTGAACACTTCTTGGTCCCTTGTCTTGAGGTTAATTCGTTTTTAGAATAGGTTTTTGGGGAGAAGCCTGAAATGAGGTCTGTGGTTAACACAAGCTGCAGAGATTTTAATACCTTGTTCTACGACATAAAATATGACAGTAAATACCCCACTAGAGAAGTTTCTTTGTGTCTAAAAAAATGGCGGTTGCTAAAGAGTGACTAAATTAAGCTGCTAAACATCATCACGTTGAACATTAGCCGCCTTTAGCTTAGTGGTAGTGACAGGAAGTCCTGTGACCGTGCTGTAGTTCCTTTATAGCCCAACATTAGCCGCCTTTAGCTTAGCGGTGGTGACGTGAAGTCATGTGACCGTGCTGTAGTTCCTTTATAGCCCAACATTAGCCGCCTTTAGCTTAGCGGTGGTGACGTGAAGTCATGTGACCGTGCTGTAGTTCCTTTATAGCCCAACATTAGCCGTCATTAGCTTAGCGGTTCTATTTTAGTTAACCAACGGGCTTGTGTAAATGCATGAAAGCCAGTTAGTTAGTGGGATAATGTGCAGTGAATAAGTCCTTTAAGTTCTGCATTAAGGGTTAATTTTCCAATAATCACCTGTTTGTGTACATACAAATATGAAAGTGTATGAATATCTGTTATGTCCCTTTGCTCATCTTGTTTCCTCTCCGTCTCTTTTTGTCTACTTTTACTCCCAACCTGCTTTCTCTGTCTTTCTCTGTGTGTGTGTGTGTCTGCATGCTGCTTTCGTCTGCTTGGCTGGGGTTAAATATGAATATGAATCTCTGTGTGTGTGTGTGTGTGTGTGTGTGTGTGTGTGTGTGTGTGTGTGTGTGTGTGTGTGTGTGTGTGTGTGTGTGTGTGTGTGTGTGTGTGTTTAGCTGACTCTGGAGCTGGCGCAGCAGCATGGCGGCGCTCTGTCTCTTTCTCGCCCTCCGACCATGTTGTCTGAGCATCAGCTGACTTTGTGGAAACATGGAGCCAAGAGGAGGGGACATGTGTGTATTATATCTGAAACTTGACACTTCCTGTTAGGCTGCAGCAGGTTGAGGTCAGAGGTCAGGGCAGGGCCTTAGGTGTTATGGAGATTAGGGTTGATATCAATCCAGATTTATCCTCCTCTAACGACCTTTACTTGGCTTTGATTAGAAACAAATAAATAACACAATGCTGTTAGGAGACAGAACTTTGTGGTCAATTTGAACTTTAAGTTACATGCACCACATATCAATTAATCAATCAATCAATCAATCAATCAATCAATTTAATACTAGAATACTGTACTACTATAGACTACTATAACGTTGGAAGTTAATAAACATAGTACTAAAAACCAAGAATACGTAAGAAAATAAAAAAATTAAAAAACACTTTGGGGACTTTGTTATTAGGAGCTTTAAAAAACAATGCAAGTATTTTCAAATCTAGCATTAACGGAAGAAAAAGTCTCTAAAGTGAAATCAAATATATTTCTCTTCTCCCTCTGCATGTTCTCTTTGTGATTCCTTCAACCATCACTTGTGTCATTGTGTTGATTCCTTCACTGCATTTATAGTAAAACAGAACAGCTGTGATGGAGTTTAACCGGCCTCTTATTGTGTATATATATATGTTAACAATTAATACTCACACATCATAATAAGTGTGTGTGTGTGTGTGTGTGTGTGTGTGTGTGTGTGTGTGTGTGTGTGTGTGTGTGTGTGTGTGTGTGTGTGTGTGTGTGTGTGTGTGCCGTTCGGATATTTCTAACCCGGTTACTTTAAGCTGCAAACGCAAGTTAAGTATATTATTTACATCACTCTTAACAGAATGATATGTATCTTATACAAACTAACTTACACACATAGTAAAAAATAGGTTAGATTGCTTTGTTTGTACCATGTCCACAAACAGCAGTCTCCTGGATGATCCTCCTGTGTTTGTGTGACCCATCCATCTAACCTTAACTCCTCCAAACGGGTTCTTTATACCCAATATCCTGACTTACACCTATGCTCCTTTGATAATGACTACGACCAGTAGTAATGGTCGCCTCACAATGACCCAGCACACTGAGAGATTAACAGCCTGAGCCCATTAGTAGGTAGAGAGGGGCCAATGACAACCGATACGGACATTTATTCAGCTGATGACAAATGAAGCAAGGGTGCTATAGACTTTTTGCACTATTTTTTATTTTGTATTTTTATATTTTATTCTATATGTTGCATTGCTGGAGCAGCTCAGAGCAGAAGAATTTCATTGCCATTTCTACACTGTAGCTTTGTGCATATGAGAATAAAACCTTTGCATGTTGAATGAATCTGGCTGAATGTGTTTCCTCCCCACAGCTGTCAGTAGCAGTGTGTATCGGCTTCCTGGGTGCCTGGTCTCCGTATGCCATCGTGGCCATGTGGGCAGCTTTCGGAGACGCCACGCTGGTTCCTCCTGAGGCCTTTGCCATCGCCGCCGTGTGTGCCAAGTCTTCCACCATCTACAACCCTCTGGTCTACCTGCTGTGTAAACCTAACTTCCGCGAGTGCCTCTACAGAGACACGTCTATGTTACGAAAGAGGGTCTACAGGGGAAGTCCGATGTTAGAACCCAAAGAGCACTCGGCCTCGCAGCGGAACAAGGACGTGAGCCTCTCCACGCGCTTCTCTAACGGACAGCAGGAGAGCTACGGGGCGCTTCTGCACTGCACTGAGTCTGCAGCGCCGGGACATGTGGACGCAGCCCAAAGGACCGCCTGCAGTCTGACTGCCTCCCCCTTCAGAGAGGTGACAGTCTGCCAGCTCTCCAGCAAACCACAGGCTGAACTCGTCTAGTGGGCAAACCAGAGAGGACAGGTGCTTGGAAAGATAGAGGGAATACACATGGACAACAGAACAACAACGGGCACACACGGGTTTTAATGCCCACAAGACTTTAAAGAAAACAAGACCGCAGACTTGCATGGACCTTTAATGGAATACTTTCTTAAAGAGAATAATGAAAAGTCCCTTTATTATTTTATAATAATATTATCCTTTTATCCAAAGCGACTCACATACTCAATACTGTGGACAATCCCCACAGGAGCAATTTGGGGTGAAGTGTCTCAGGGACACAACGACATGCTGACTGCAGTGGGGTTTGAACCTGCTCCCCTGATCCCAACACCAACGCACTAGTCCACTGCGCCACACGCCTCCTTACTGTTTGTGTGAAATGTCTTGATGCCAACGTCTCTGTCAGCGTGTGTCCTGTTTGATGTGAGTGAGCAGTAATGTAACTGGATCTTGCAGGAGCAAAGAGTGTGACATAATATTTCCTTTGATGATAAACCATGTATTATCCGGTCCAGGACTTCCTCCTCTCTGCGCCGCTTATTGTTTACAGTCCGATTAACAACTGGAGATGCAAGACTGAAGCTGAAGTCCCAGCTCTATAAAAAGATATCTACATATGGGGGCAGATAAATAAATACGAAGCGCATGAAAAGATACATCTTAGCCAAAGGGTTCTCAGATTATATTCATGCCAACGCATTCCTCCTCTTTCCACACGGACTGTTTACCTGCATGCAACCAAAGCCTGCCTGAATGTGATTGGTCGATACTAATCGGACTACAAAAGGACAACAACAGGACTACAAATTGAAACCAGGATGCTTCAGATACCAAAAGTCATGTTGCCTATCATATGCGGAGGTATTAACAACCTAAATGATGGAGTTATCACCCCCCCACCCCCCACCNCCCCCCCCCCGCCCCCCCAGTGAGTCCATTGTAACAGAGAGTCAAACTGGCAGCTTCTGTTTTCTGTTTGGAAAAATGAGTTGTGTCATTTCTCATGTGGGCCGCTTTAAGCCTCCAGGGGCACATTATGTGATGCTAAAAATAAAGCTTTAGATGGAGTCTTATTTCCACTTTGATGTAGCCTGCGGTCGCTCTCCTGCTGTACACTGCCAGATAAAACCCCCCCAAAATAGAGTTTGCACACTACTTTTTGGAAAGAAGTAATGTAATGGTGGAAACTCACAAAGAAATTAAACTAGAGGTCAGTTTATTCTCATAATTAGTTAATCATTGTGACTGAAAATGAGACTTGAATGTTGAGAAAAACACAGAATATTCCTCAGGATTCATCTTGATTAAATTAAGCTCATAATAAAGTGGTTATTAAACTCAGTGCTAACTAAGAACAATCAGGGTGTCCAGGTGATCAAATAATATGTTCGTTATTACCTAGCTGTGATCATATTTCAAGCAAGTCAATATTTTCCTAATTGATAATAATAATAATAAGTAAATCAAATGTCTTTATTACGGTTGATATTTGAATAATAGCACAGACCTTTAAATGCATCTTTAGTGCATATTGGAATAATGCTCTTATGTTTGTCTTGTACTGTAAGAATATGTTCTTGTGCCAATGTGTGCGCATTTATTGTTACATTTCATCAATTAAACTTTTGGGATTTCTGACAGACGACTTGCTTTCAGTCAAAACAGAACACAGAGAGCCTTTTGCTGTGAGACTGTGTGTGGGCTCCATGTGTGCATATTAATAAAAAGGCTGTTTTTGTTGATAGCCGTATCAAAAGCAATGCTTATTCAGCTCTTTTTACTAAAGAAAAAGTAATTAAATGAAAAGAACTTTGGAAAAAACATTTGATTTCTACCCGTTTATTTGACCCTCCAAAAGCGACGTGCCTGGAGTTCCTTCTATATGTAATTATCTCTGAGTGAGTGTTTCTTTGAAGGCTTTGCCTCCCGGGCACACCAGGTTTCAATTCAAAGCTAATCCAGTGTTCTACAAAGGAGGGAGTTCACTTTACTGCTCGATCTTCCTGTGTGATCGTGGGTTGAAATTCATGAGCTGCTGTGCAACAACTTTAGATGTGTCGTCACTTTATAAAACAAAAGCTGTAATGTTTGAGTCGGTAAACATGCACGAACACTGCATGACTTTAATGCAATCTGCATTTTAGGGCAAAGTGTCAAAGTGTGACAGAGACGTAAGCCATGTTTCACTTTTAGTAATGACATAGATGTTATAAGCTTATTATGTCAATAACATACATCGCAATATATAAACTGTTTTCATATCCAAATGACGCAGTTCAACCCCGTCTTTGTTTTGACCAACTCCCTGCCAATCCCACTGAGTTTATCAAATAAAGATCAACGCCATATTGTGAAATGAAAATGTACTTGAGGCAATTGTGTGTCGACACGCAGAATAATGAGATGTGTTTGGATTTTTTCGCCACTATCCATGAATTCAATTATGTCTGAACTAAGGAACTAATCGGTTTGTTAGGACCATTCCCTGTTATTCATTTAGAGAATAATTAATGAGCTGTTTAAATGTATGTTTGAATCCTTAAATTGGAGATCTGAGAAAGCACTCTCTCCAGGAGTTAAAGACTTATTTAATGAACTGCACTCCATCAATGAGAGTGCAGCTTCTCCCCATCGTTGTTTGGCTCCAGCATTGTAGGAGGACTACTTTGAGCAAAATCATGATGACAGCAAAGCTACAGCTGGGGGGGGTGAAAACACTCTGAAGATAATGTGCATGTGCATCTATACAATGCACAGATAAGAAGAAGAGCTAAAATCTAAGAACAACCAAACAGAAATCTGTATATTTTTAAGAGAGGGTCTGTTTCTTATCAGATTAAGATTCACTTTATTAAACATGTGTTTGGTCCAGTGCTCAAGACAACAGGACACCATCAAGTCCAAAGGAGGGCGGTCCAACTCCACTAAAGGAATTATAATGCAATGTTGTCGACTAAACAACAGACTCTTAAAGGGGACCTATCATGCAAAATGCACTTTTTGATGTCATTTTTTTATTTTCTGACGCTGCGTAAGTTCCCCGACACACCGGGGACACATCTGTAAAGGACATTAAAAAGTGCATTTTGCATGATAGGAGAGCTTTAATGGAGAAAATAAAACCCTCTCTCTTTTCCTCCGTACCCACATCTCTAAAAACGGGGGTACAGCGTAGCAGATCCAGATTTGCGTCCGATATAAC